ATGCACAATAATCTAAGTTATATTATATAGCTGGGCACATCCAGCTCCGGGAGTGGGGGGTGGGGTTGGAGGGCCCTGGAGGAGATGTTAGCCCAGGGCATCAAACAGACTAGGACCGCCCCTGCCTAAATCTGCCCAGTGGTTAACAAAATATTTTGCCAAAAATTACAGTTTTGGTAAAAAAAAAAAAAAGTTTTAAAGGGCTCTTAATATGCAAAACTCTTTTTTTTTCTTTCAGTTTTCTTTTTACTTACATTTGGGTCTGTACTGCTTCAAAAAGTAGCCCAAGCACAAAAAAAATGCACCCAGAGGTATTTTTACTATAAGTAAATATATTTGTTTATGTCTTGAAATGACTGTTTTCAAACACCACCGTTTGTGACTTCACAAAAAAAAAATAAAATAAAATAACTCCAACCCACCCCAACTTGAGCCCAGCTCAGCTCCTGGTAACCTAAGCGGACACTCCACCCACTTCTTCACAGGACGGTTCTGGTGTTTTAGAACAGTCATGGAGAACAGAGATGTGTGGCTTTTTTTTTTTTTTAATTTTATTTTTGATGGCAATGTTCTAACAATATTAAAGAAAGTTGTAGTTTGTGTAAATAATTTCACCATGGACTACTTGGGGAAATCCTGCTGGTATTATTTTTCCACAGGACTTTCTACTGAAAGGAAACMTRTGGCGGAGTGTAGAGTTAACGTAAACAAAAGGTTGGGAGAGGGCAACTTATGCAAAACAGCATGTTCTGAAGAGAGCTCAGAACAGGCAGAACTGAAAAGATTAAATTTTATTATCTGAGATTAATTTTATGAATTAAATCAAATGAACATGTTTTGTATAGCCCACAGATAGAGCTTAACTTATTCTAGGACCCCGATAATAGGTCACCTTTAAGCARTGATATCTCAAAATATGTTGTTAATGTAAATTAAGGATGTTGCTAAAATACTACCATATCAAATTTTAGCTCTGTATCTGTGAAACTGTGTTACTGTGTTTTTGAAAATCAGTTGATTGTGTTGATCAAAGACTTTTTTATATAGAGACAGAACATGTGAAATAATGCGAAGAAACAACTGAAACATATGAATAAAAAACAGAAAAGTATTGTCAACTGGTGAAATAATCCATAAACCAGAACYTTACTATTCTGAAGCTTTTAGGCAAGTGAAAAAATGTTCACACATGGTGATGATTTAAACAAAATCAAATCAAAGTAGACTTGTACATTTAGTGAAATGACTCACATCAARAGCAGTTCAGAATAAAGATTTGGATTTTTTGAGGGGTTTATGCTCACCATCAGGCTCAAAGTTGTAGAAATCATTCTTGTTTAATGACATGTCAAACAGCGGGTTGTAATGGGAAACCTGAGACACGGGCCCATCCACTTCTGTCTCCATTCTGTCCACAATCCTYTGTCTCTTCACTTTTTTCTTCAGCAGTTCTTAATGCTGTAAAACTTCTCCCCACAAAACCTTTTACTTAAGAGTCAAAAAGCAGAAGGAAATGTAATACGCTGCAAAGAAAAAAAAACTGAAAGGGAACATTCGAGTATCGTCCTCAGGCAGACCCGATGGAGCTGGTTGGTTAAACCAGAAAAACTAAAATTCAAACACAAGTACAAAAAAGGTTTAACAAAGAAGAAACAGAAATAAYTAGATTTTCATAAAGTTTTGCTGTTTTTACTTTCTTTTAAAATATAGAATAGTATTTATTCAAATAACTGATGTTTCATTATGTACACTGGTTTATTTAGTCCCACAATTAAAAAATATTTTGACTTGGATTAAAAACTAAAACAAGCTATTTCATTTAACAATTAAATCAAATGCAATAAAGAATATTATACTTAACAAATCAGCCCATTCCCTGTCACTGCACACCAGGGCAGCTGTGGCTACGTTGTAGCACTTTGGGGTCCAGTGGGGCTTGATAAAGCCCTATACGTTCAGACTATTCATCAAATTGTTAAAGGGGCAATATTATGTGTTTCTGTTTATTTTTGAATGCTGATTGGCAGGTGAGGGATGGGCTATGTAAGGTTAAGTGTGATTCTGTTAAGGTTGRGACAATTAGGAGCAAACAGTTTTCTACTGTGCTTAGTTTAGAGCTCTGAAAGATCATGTGGATTCTATCAAAATGGATGCAAAGGAAATAAATGAGTCATAACAAGGAGGGGAAACCAAGATCGATTGTGAGCTCTGATTGAGTGCACATAAAATTAAACCTACCCGGTARAAMGACAGTCTGCAACCAGTAGCCTAAATACAGGAATTTAGCAGCTACAACAATTTCATGRATTGAAAGTTTCTATTAAACCTTTGCTCCTTTGCTGCTTTTCTATTGAGTTTTATGTAGTTATACTTATAAATTAATTTTATTGGTATTTTACATTGTGAAATTGAAATGTCAATCTGGAATGTTGTCAGACTTCAGAATAACTGCAGTGCTGAATGAATATATCTTGCTATATACAGTAGGTATGAATATATCTAGACCCAAGTCACTGCAAAATAGTGACACTGCACATCATTAATGGTAAAAGTCAATGGTGTTATTTGTGATRTTGTGTTGTGGGATCTGTTAGCACTCATAGTATGTGATAATAATGACAATCAGCTACGAAGACATCAGATTTTAGCTCAATTTCTGCAACATTTACCCAATTATGGCCATTCCTGTCTTGGATAACATACATTAGCTGTAGCAGCCTTCTTGAAATGGTTTGACTTCAATATTTAATCAGTTGTAGAAGCTCATCCAGTGATTGCTTTCTYAGAGTTTTATTAAAATRCACTTGATGGTTTATGAGATATTTTGCTAACAGACAAACAAGGCTGACTCCAATAGTTAATGTCAAAGTTTTAAAAAAATTTGGAGCCCAAGGTGTGTGTTGGGGAGAACTCTCAGCTACTGTATGTGGCAGGCACATGTAGGGAAAGCACAAACTTGTAGTCCATGGGCTAGGGTGGTTCACCGTGCACCCCCCCGAKCACCTGTTTGTGAGCGGTTGTGAGCATGCGTGCATATACAAGATTTCTCCAATGGAAAATTTAATAGTGACCGTGGAGGACCAAAGACCCAATCCCCAAGACCTGAGGCAGACACAGGGGAGACTAGAGCCCAAGAAAATGCATATTAACAGAATCAAAAAGTTCAATCATGTCCTAAGAAGTTCAATTTAAGAGAAATTCGGGTTCAGAGGGTTAAATGAACTTCACTAATCTTTGAGAAACTGCAGCCATACACAATGAYATGTTCCTGTAATCCAATTTATGTGGGACCAGGGGGAGTACTGAAGGTATTAAAGTGCTGGCAATTATTGTCTTACTTARTGAGGCCATGTCTTTATGGAGGACTGAAACTGACATAATTTTCCCACAAGTCTTTATTTCCATGTGTTACTTTTACATTTTACAGAAGCCGAGAGTGGATGTTTTCCATATACTGTATATATTTTTTCTCACAGTTTTCTTGTGATAACATGTCATTGTTACAAAGTTTATTATACCAGCAGGATCATTTAAGTGTAAATGCCTGTTGTTGCAGTRGGGCCAGCCATCTCCATCACATGCCATCACATGGCGAGTGATGATATGAAAGTTATCTGTACAAGACAAACAAACTGCATTTTCAGCCTGCGTTATGATATACAGTAATCCACTTAGAAATTAACACACGTTATGTCGAAAAAAKTTATGAGCTAAAATACATAATTTGTTGGGACTAGCTTGAAAAAATATGAAGGTCAATGAAATGTTATAGTCCGTGTGTTTTGGTTTCATCATGTTCCATGGTTCTTTGTGTTGTCTCTATTTTAGATCCTCCTGTTCTGTCTCCCTCGTGATCACTCTGTGTTTTCACTTTCATCCTGTCAGTGAATTTTCGGTTAACCACACTCATCTGTCAGTCACCTGTAGTCGTTTTGGTAATTAGTCCCTCTCCAGGTGTTGCTCATGTCCTCTTTCCTTCAGTCTGTATTTAACCAGTCCCGTCACCATTACCCCGCTGGTTCATTGTTTGAGCTCCCGTTGCCATGTTCCTTAGTGTTCTGCCCTGTTCCCATTCAGTTTATGTAAGTTTTTGCTGCCACGTCAGCCTTTTTATTTGTTTTCAGTAGTGATGGATAAACAGAGGCCTACTGAATCAATATGAAGCAATTGTGCTGAAATGACTCAGTGTTTTGAATCATTTGATACATTCATAAACTTGAATAAGAACCCTACACTGTGCCCTGCCTATCCCGTCCACTTTTAGCGTCTATGACAGCATGGAGGAGCAGAAACTGTGACCAAACAGAGGCTCATTTCACAAAAGTCAGATTTATAAATTCAGGATCAGCTGTAAACTGAGCTTGAACTAGCCTTCAACTTGTCAACAGCTGTAAATCTTTTGCTCCAACACCAAGCCACGCTCAATTAAGGCTGCTCATTCTAGCCAGCTGTGAATGGTTTAGGATTAATGCACATTCATGGTTTGTTTACTAGACCCATCAGGTGGATCACAGATTTCCTGATCATGCATGCGCAGTAAGACACGTGAGTCTCACTTCTTCCAGCAGTGTAAGGGTTAATTATGATTCATATGAAGAGATTAAGAGAAACACCGACTGAATGCTGAAATAATTTCAAAAGTAAAAACTTATTGTGCCACTGAATCTGTCTGTAAGTTATCTGAAATTAACTAAATGAAAAAAATTAAAATGCACAGCTGATTGCTCACTTAAAATGATTGCTGTAGGAAAGACGAGGGACAGAGGGACGGGGTTGGGCAGTGAGAGGGGCTTTGAAGCTGAAGATAGAGGGGGAGTGTGAGTCGGGCTCCAGTGCAGAGGCGTGTGTTTGTTGCGGGGACACAGGGGTGGGAAGGTGTGGTGGTGGTGGTGGAGGGAGGTGGCCTGCAGCAGGCACTAAGA